AATCTAATATGGAAAGGACAATGTTTGCCAGTTTCACTGAAGAAACTAGCTAGATGTTTTAGCTGGAGAAGTAACTGCATAAAATGTATATTTAAAATTGAAATCTTTTCTGAACCATTCCACGAGCCTGTCAAAATGCTGACTCAGATAAAACAAGAGATTCCTACTGTAATATTACTGCTTGACCTAGGCTGAACTAATAGTTTTCAGAAATTACTAGCTACAAAAAGTTGAACCAGTGAAGCTTCGCATCTCTTCTTTTAATTGTGTAACACATTCAACACTAAGGCACGTACTTTCAAGAAATGGAGGAGTACGGTATCAAATGCACATTTACCTCTAGGACTGACTTTTTAAAGACCTACCCTCTGCCCCCAATTCCATCATATAAGGCTTTTCTATAGATGGAGAGTTCTTTCATAATCTATACTCCCACAAAAGCCTAATAGAAAAGGACAATGAATAAATTTAAAGACGTTACCTTCTGTATTTTTCCAAGAGGGTTAAAAAAAAACCCATTTATCTTAGGATTCTACATAGTATTATAAACTTATAACACAACCCAATAGTGAAAAATACTCCATTAACTTGTATTTTATAGAAACTCTTATATTCCTTGCCCATAGCTAACAGTAGTAGTGACTATGGGCTAAATTATTTCTTAAAATAAAGGTCATGAGTAAGATCCTAAGATTACTTCATCCTCAAATGGGGTTAATGAGCACAATACACATAGAATCTACGGTTGTTGCTTTTCACTGTGAACTACCAACAAAAGGCTCCAATCTTGAAACATTTTCTTCAGAATCATTCAATAAAAACTGATCTTCAAAATGAAGCCCCAAAAGTACCGTGGTTCTGAAAGATTTTCTCAATCAAAGAAAGATTATATTTCTTTTATGTTAAATGTGAACATTCAGTTCTTTGAGAATCAACCATCTATTTATCCTAATAGAAATTTACTGGGCCGGCCCGGTGGCGCACTGCTATAGTACGCTGCTTGGGAAGCGCGGCGGCGCTCCTGCCGAGGGTTCGGATCCCACATACAGACCGGT